CTGCCACAGCTGTGAACCTGCCTGGCTTTTCAGCACCCAGCATGTGGGCACCCGCTCTGCAGGAGCCATGCTCCATGGTGGGGCACTTTGGCAAAGACAAGATGGGCAGCAGCTGCAGGGAGAGAGCAGCAGCCAACGTCCCCTGGGAGTTGCAAACTCATGCTGTTCTCCAGGGAGCTGCTAGCAAAGGCAGCGCTGGTGGGGGGCAGCGCTCCGCCCTGGCCACGCACCCTCATCCCCATCCCTGCCGTGTCCTGCAGGGCTGCTATCGCACCCCATCGTGGCACCCACAGCAGCTGCCTCGCTCCCACTCACACCCTGGGTGCCAGCCCCACTGCTGGCATAGACCCCACCAGGGGCCCAGGCTCCGGAACCAACTGCTCCAGAACCAGCGCCATGGCACCAGCCCAACAGACATCACCAGAACCGGCTCTGCTGCCGCTCAGCGCAACCAGCAGGCTGCCTTGTGCTGTTGGTGAAGATGTTTTTCCTCCTCCTATTGGTGCTGGCCGCATGCTGGCCCATGCAGGATGCACAGTCCTCCTGTTTGTAAGTTGCCCAAGGCTTTGGGGATGTCAGCATCTCTCCTAGGAGGAGAGTCTGGGAGAGTTGGGCCTGTCCAGCCTAAAGAGGAGAAGACTAAAAGGCCCTCACTATACATAAACACCTTAAGGGAGGGTGTCAACAGGGGGAGGGTCAGACTCCTTTCAGGGTTGTCCAGCAATAGGACAACAGCCACAAATGGAAGCACAGGAAGTTCTCCCTGAATTTCAGGAAAAACGGCTTGACCGTGAGGGTGATAGACTACTTCAAGACATTGTCCAGAGAGGTGGTGGAGTCTCCTTCTTTGAAGATACTCAAAACGCATCTAGGCACAATCCTGTAACACACTGCTTGCCTGGGGGGTTGCACTAGATGATCTCCAGAGGTCTCTTCCAAACTTAATCATCTTATGATTAATTCTGTGTGATTTGGGAGAGCCCCACAGGGAGCCTGGTGGTCCAGGGCTGCACGGAAGGCATCTGGCCCAGGGCAGGGGGCTCAGCCCTCTCCAGTACCCTGCACATCCTGCTGCAGGGCTGTGGCTGCCTTGCCCATGCTGTCCACACGCTGCCTCCTGGGGAGGGAGCAGGAGGACCCTCCACGTGAGGGGAACAGGGAGCCGATGA